CCAAACAGCAGCTGTTTGAAACTGTTTAGTGGATTTATATGTTGAAAATAACCTAACAGATGTCATCACACAGTTCCACAAGGTATCACATGGCATCTCCACACATGCAGCATGTAAGATCCACTGGTTATGTGCATCTCATGCACAGGCTTTGCATGACAGGAGAAGGCTGCCCAATTTAGGGATGCTATTACAATATCCTTTATTGTAAAATGACACACAGCAGGTTTCTAATTAAATTTTAAGTAGAAATGAGTTCCCAGCTCTTGAATAATTCAAACTGTTCTATTAACCAAGGTTCTGAAATGCCACTGAGACATGAGCTCTGGACACAGCAACGGCCAGGGGAAAAATAGCGCTTGGAAGCACAGAAGTGGTTAGCTGGGCAGTAGATAGGGCAGGGTACACATAAAGAACAGCTGAAAGAGCACATCTGCTCATGGAGGAAAGCACTGCAGGCAAGAACGGAAGGAGAGAGGAGCATGTTCTGCATACAAATGGGGCGAGGCACGTGCGGGAGGCGAGGCTGGGTTCGGTACCCATGCATCTCGCTCTCAATGCACAAGCACATGCTGTTCTCCAAGTCACGTCCTGATCTGTGAGTACATGCAGGTGCCTGCTGGCACACAAATAAAAGAGGTGCTGAGCACGCTGCCAGAGCGCGAGAGCGGCTAAGCCAGAGCACGTCCCGAGGATGCTACTAGGAAAGGCACCACCCGCATCGCAGCATCTGCACAGCCTCCCCGAGGCCAGGCCTGCCCGGGGCCACGTGAGCCGCAGGGCAGCAAGAGCACGGCCAGATGAGCTGGGCAGCAATGCTCGCGAGCAAAGGGCTTTGGAGACCTGCGCTGGGGTGGCCCTTGCCCTGCACAGCATGCACTGTGCCTGCGGGCAGCCTGAGCCACAGCACTGCGGCAGCCCTCAGCCTGCGCACGCACAGGTCTCCTGTAGGTCATAGGAATAGGACTGAAGATAAAACAAGACTCGTGTTTTCTAACGGCAGATCTCCGTCAGACCTGCTGAGAGGGAGGCAGCGATACCGGATAAGGGAGGAGGGATAAGGCCTGGCCCCTCGGTAACACTTAATACATGCCCCACATGACACTTAAGAGCAGCAGCATGTGAAATAATCTCCTAAACTACTGGAAGCCCTGCAATGCTCCTCCTTCCTCCCTTCCCTCTCCCTGAGGGCATCTCAAAGCCAATGAGGGGTTCCAGGGGAGATCACCACCACTGAGTGGTCTCAAAAAACACTCCACAGAGGAAAGCAAGCTCAAATGCTAACAAAACTCATTTTGGCCATGACTCCCCAAGAAGCAGGCAGGACGGAGTAGGCAACGGGACAGCTGCCCAAGGGAGAAAGCCTGCTGTCTTCTCTCGGGCCAAATCCTCACTGAAGTTGCAGCGAGGAATCCCAAATCCAGCTTAGGGAACCCAGCTTTGACTCAAACCCCAAATGGCCTTGATCTCTGAGCTGGGGTCTTGAGACCTTTAGGGTGTGCTTAAGTGACAGCAACAGAAAGAAAGGAGAGAGGAGAGAGCATAAAAGGGGCAAGGAGAGAAAGAAGGGCGTGAGGCAATAGGAAACTAGGTAGAGGCAATACTTTTCCCAGCTCACAGCAGCTCAGGAATAAAGGCTCAGCTGTAAGTTGGTTTCTAAAGCCTGTGCTTGCTCAGGGTTCACTGGGGACACATCAGGCACTGAGGTGAGAAAATAGAGCTGACGTTTAATCTCAGGCCCTCTTAGCGAGAGTTGTGTCGAAGCAGGAACACAGATCCCTGCATCCTTCCACCTCCCCAGACTCCCTGCAGAGCGGGGAAGAAGAATGGAGTAAAAATAACCTACCTGTTGCCGGTCCCAAGTCCAGGCTGGAGTCGTTGAGCTCTCCCCCGTCTTCCCAGAAATACTGCGGGGGCTGTAAGATCTTGGACTCCTCATTCTCCTCACTGGCAAACCCTGATCCTGGGGCAGCATGCAGAGAGCCGGGGGCAAGATCAGGCTCCGCAGGCTCCGGGCTGGTTTGCTCATGGGAATTCATAGGCTCCATCATGGCAAACTCCAGCAGGGAAGTTGACGTGAAGCCATCGGCAGTTGACTCCTCCGAGGAGGCAAGGCAGAGGCACAAAGTCCCTGTGTAATGACAGTAAAACCACATCAGAGATAGGGCTGACACCCACTGGGCTGGTCTTCTCCTTGCAGCCTGCAAACCCAACCCACCCAGCACACCTCCTTCGGGGTAACCTGCCCCTTAGATGGGCTGTGCTCCCAGCTGATGGGGAAAATTAGGGCATTTTGGGAAACATCCACAACCATGCAGAGGAGCATTCACATCCAGGAGTCAGCGCCAAGCAGCCATCCAGCCTGGGGCACCTCTCTGCAATGGGGCAGGGATGGCTCACCCTCCCTGAGGTTTTTCCCCCACTGTGAAAGGCCAGGGTGCCTTGTTAATCGCTCATCCTGGAGTGGAGGCAGAATGTCTTACACTTAAGCCATGAAATTTTGGCCCTGTGAAGTCAATGACAGCTTCCTATCTGATGGTCACCCAGGCAAGATTTCACCCTAGTGCTCTTGATCTGCAGCTGTATGGGAACTGATTTAAACCAAAATTGTTTACATCACCAATATTAATCATGTTTTAAATCACCAATCTGGAAATTTATTTTTAAGTTATTGATTTGAACTTCGTTTTGCATTCACATTTTTTGTTTTCATAGGGAAGGGCTGCCTGTCACAGGTAAGAATTAAAATGTGCTAACAGCAAACATCAACCTAACGCTAAGCAGGGAGGCAGGTTGCATTTTACGCTTTTCTTTCAACAATTATATCCTTGTTATTTCCATTTAATACATTAGAGGGTTTGACTGACACTTCTTAATTCCTAGATGAGACTGTAATTGTCATTCACGTCAAGGTACATTCACATGCATATTGAACTTCAATCAAAATGCAAGAAAACAGCACCTGGAACTTGGCTTTATTCAACCGATAAATACCATGATAAATACGGAGACATAAGGAAAAAACGAGATTAACAAAACATGTTTTACATTTAAAACAGTTTTGTTAAGGAAGCAAAGTAATTTGAGTGAACTGAGCCAATTGCTTCCTAGTCCTCTGTTCTTCAGCACATTAAAACGAGAAGATCTCATCCTCTCACAGCTGATTTTTATTCACAGATCAGAAAAAAAAAGGACAAGTTTTCCCACTTTCTCAGCTCATACTCAGTCTCTCAGTTCTTAATGAACTAGTCACTGAACTGAACTAGTTGAATAAGCTGAAATGAAGACTGATTTGGTATTTTTCTTTGATAACTGATTTTCTAGACAAGAGATGTGCAGCAGATCTAATCCATCTGGACTTCAGTAAAATATCTGATACAGTGCTTCATGCAGAATTACAAGAGAAGCAAGAAGAGACACCGATTAGCAGGAAAACTATAAGGCAACTGTGAGGCATTGACTATACGAAAAATGACAGAGGCTGGAAGGATGCTATTAGTGGAATTCCTCAAGGTCTGTCCTTGGATCAGCTGTTCTTTCACATTTTCCTAAGTGACCTTGGAACAAAAATTAAGAACATGATAATGAAGTTAGCCAAGGACACAAAGCAAGGAGATAGCCTCACTGCACAGAAAGAGCGTAGGTACAGCTAGGTGATGTTGAGAATGAAAATAACAGAGAAATTACGAAAAGAAATAGTACAAAGTGATAAGTCACCACCTTGAAAACCAGCACCAAACATTTCTGATACAAGATGGGAAAACATCCATTAATATCTTAAGTCAAGACACACCAGCATTAGAAACAGCTCCGAGATATCACTGGAATGCAGATGTGAAAATGCTTGCACAGTCCTCAAGTATTAGAAACAGAGAGATTTTACAAAGCAGTGCTGAGACATCACCTGGATGCTGCACGCAGATCTGGATACACGTGGGCTGAAATGATTTAAGCAGAGCTGAACTGCCTTCAGGCAAGGGCACAGACTAGCCGACCTCCCGGGGTTCCTTCCCACACCACATCCTACGACTCCACATCCCAGAAGGACAAATGCAAATCAGGGCAAGCGCCAAGATGAGCTATGGGGCAACAGCAGATGGATTGGCCCTGGTGCTTTCACTGAAAACATGGGCTTGTTAGCACAAAAAGCTTGGGATTTGCTGCTTGCTTACCAGGCGGGTCACCAAACCTGTCTTGGGAACGTTGGAAGCCAGAAATGCATTTCTCAAGCCCTTTGCCTGCTCTGACCCTCTCCACCTTCCTCCGCTACTCTCTGAACGGAGCAAAATCCAATATTGGTTAATCTTTCCCATTTATGCTTTTCCCATATATGCTTGGGCTAGGCTTCAGCACTTCTCGATACCATTAATTTTGTTGTATTGATCAAGGCAAGATCGGCTGAGGCCAGAGCAGCAACAAAAAGGGAACAGCAATGGAGGTAGAGTATCGCAGGGGAAGGAAGCTACTGCAGCATCACGGAGCCAACCAAAACCCCTCTGGGCATCCCTGGGGATGGACCGGCTCCACGTGAGCTTGTGCACACCCAGGGAATTCTGCACACCTCTTGTGCAGGAGCCCAGATCTGGAGAGACCTGGCCAGGCCAGCACCGGTGACAATTCAGTGGTGCTCACCAGGCCCCAGCGTGAAGGTGCCCCGTCTGGGCTCCCCAGGCTGGCACGAGATACCTGCATCGCTAGCAGAGCGCACCGCCCAGCCCCAGGCAGCTCCCCGGAGATAGCACTTGTCTGGAAGAGCTTACAGCCTAAACAAACATGACAGGAAGCAGCGAGAGGGAGAAAGGGAACATAATTCTCAAAGTTATCCAGAAAAAGGGAGCAGAAGGATGGGGAAAAAAAACCACAGCAGGTCCAAGCCCACACAGAAAACCTGGTGGTTTTGGGACGGCAACTGACTGCCTAGGTCATGTAGGTCAGTTCTTCATCCACCCCAATGCCTCTGTTTCCTCCGACTCCCATAAGCAGGGATGTGGCTGATGTGGACTTTCCATCCACGCTACAATGCACCTCCCAGGTCTCCCAGCCAGCTACGCAAAGCCTCAAACTGTAACTCTGCACCAGCCCCAAAGACTGGTTGAGCACCCTCGGCTTCCATCGGCTACACCCCGTTTGCACTCCCTCCAGAGCTCAGCCACAGCACATCCCACCACCTCTACAGCAGGCATCTCACGGCAGGTGAAGCTGGGCACCCAGAGAGCTAATCCCATCCATGCAGGAAGCTCAGATCCTGGGAGTTTGTTTACCCTCATTTAACTCTGAAGTGTTTACCCAGTTAAAACCCCCTAAGCTGCATTATCTTGTTTACTGGGAAGCTCTGCTCTCCTCAGCCCAAGATAAAACTACACCACATCATCCCTAAGAGTGAGTCATTAATAGACGCAACCAGAGCAAGCCAGGTTTCTCCCAGGGTGGATCTGGAGTAGGACAACACCTTGGGGCCAGATGCACAGGCACGGGATGCAGAGGCTGGCCTGGGGGAACCCTCGATACCAGTACCAGCCCGAATGCGACAGGGCTAACAGCACCAGCGTACAAATCAGTGCCTCTCCAGACAGCATCCTGGCACCACTTCATACCTTTTGCACCAGCAACAACCCAAAGGCTTGGGGTACCAAGCAGCACACCCAAGATCTGCCATCTTCCCTCCCTTCTCTGCCAAGCAGCTCATAAAGGAGCTCAACGCAGCTGTCAACTCGGAGGCAAAGAAAGAGTCAAAGCTCAGGCTGAGCTGGGAGGCAGGGGAGCACAGAAGAGAGAGGAAATTTAATGCCTGAGACATCGGTGGCTACCCGTTCTTTCTCCTAGGATGGGGAATGGGGAATAGATGACTTCTACCAGCCATCAGTCTCCCAATTTTGTATTTTAAAAGGCAGATCAAGCGATAGGAAAAAAAGAAACACACATGAATAAAGCCCTGCGACTGTAGATGGGAGGGAGCAGGGAACGGAGCCAGGGCTCACCAGCTGCTTCAATGGGGTGTTTGTCTCTCATTTCTATTTTTGCAGCACCTCTGCGTAACCTGGAGGAGACGAGGCTCTGCATGCTAAAGAGGGCAGCCAGCCTTCTGGAGAGCGGCAGGGCTGCGAGCATGGGAAGGAAAACCCTCCCCAGATCAGACAGAGGAGGGGCGAGAAGGGAGAGAAAGTGGGAGAGGTAGACGGAAAGGGAGGAAGGAACAAAGGCGGACAGAGAGCCCCAAAACCAGCATGGGAGCTCCCACACTGGCTGCGAGCTCTCCAGCCGCCAGCACCCACAAAGGCGAAGCGTGGATGTAGCGCTGACCTTGCAGAAGATGCTTCACCTCTGCAACAAGCAGAATGGGGTGATTTCAACAGGGAATAATGCTGCAGTGGTTCCTTTCCAAGGCCACTGGAAAAAGCCAGCCAGGAGGACACACAGATGAAATGAGTTTGCTAGTTGCTGACCCCACTTACCCCTCACAAACTGAGTCCAAGTCAAAGTGGCCAAGCTTGCTCTGTTTTAGCTCAGCAGAGGATTCAATGCAACAGCCCCAGACAAGGCAGATGGGGGAGTTTTGCTCAACAGCAGGAAAAAAAAAAAAAAAAGAAAGAAAATCTGAGGAAAAAACATCTGCCATCTCTCTCCCAAACTGCTGTGAATAAGAGCAGTTTCACATTTCCAAGCAGTTCTAAAAGACCCCACAGTATTTTCTACATTAGCTGACCAAGAACCACTTTATCCCATTGCCACAAGGCAAGTCACCTCTCCACAGGACGGGGCAGCTGTTTAAAAGCTCCCAACTGGCTTATTGAATAGGACTAGAAGTGAAAGAGCAAATAAGTCGTTTCTGCATCCAGCTGAAATGAGAGGAGGGATTTGGGGAGATGAAATGGAATCTGGTTGTGACTGTGTCAAACAGCCTTTAAAATTTTCTTGGTTTTTCATCAACAAAAGCAAACCTCAATTTTCTCTCCAAGGAAACACAAACATCCCTTTAAGATGCCATCACATCGGCTTGACCTATAGAGGGGCCGCTGTGCCCTTCAGTTTACCCAGCTGAGGGTCAGCTTTACCTCTCCCTCCTGGGTGCTGCCAAGGAGGCAGGAGCTCGCTGAAGGGAGCAGCCTCTCACCACCCACTAGCAGAGCCTGT